TTCATGGCTCGGTTGGTAACCCGCGCTCCGGTCCTCCATCTGGACAATTCCCAACCTCGGAGCTAGGCCCGTACCGCATCTCACTTTCGCGTTACCGTTACCACTCTAGTTCGCTATGTAACAATCGTTCATTCCTTCGCTCGATGTACTGTTTTGCTTGCTCACTCAATTGCAGTCGCAACACTTGGTATCCAGAGCCACAACCCTTTTCGGACCGTGCCCGCACCTTCACTTCCCACATTATCTCAAAATTTGGAGGGGGTAGACGTCCCTCAGTGACCAAGCACCGCTGTTCATGTGCTCTGTCGTAAGCACACCCAACGATGACTAAGGCTCTCGCTGAGCTAGCCCGACACCCCCGCCATGGCTAAATTCGACCGGATCCAGCTCGCGACGTTGACGCAGGAACGCCTCGACGAACTCATGTGCCAACATGAGGAGTCAACGCTCGACATTGCGACACTCACGGCGGAACGCGACCAAGCACGTAAGCAATCCACGGCAAGCACAACATCACCAGCACCAACGAAAGCACATGCACAATCGGACGAGCCGATTGCCATCTCGTCCGGAGCGTCATTGCAGCACGACAGCGTTGGACAACGCTCAGACGCAATCAGTGATGGCGCCGCCTAATCGATGCTAGGCATGGAGAGAATCAGGGTTTCACAAAGTGTGAACACACCTCGTGAAGCTCGACGTCACACCAGCATCGTCACACCTACCGGCAAAAGCGACATTGGTGAGCTGATGCCACTCAAGCCGCAGCGTCCGCCCTGTTTCGATCCTAGCCAGCATGGAGGTCCGACGGTTCAATTGTGGGTGTTCACGATGAACGTATTTTTTACGCAAACTACGTCACGTCGGATGCAGCGAAGATTCGGTATGCCGTGTCATTGCTGCAGAGCCCCGCTATGGACTGGTGGCGAGTCATCGTGACGTCACCGAGCGCCTATGAGCCATTGTTGCAAGAGGAAAGGCCCTCGGGACCAGACGTAACCTCAATCTCATTCTGCGAAACCGCCCAATACAGCACGTGGGACGCGTGTTGCGCAGGGCTTCGGGCGCATTTCAAGCCGACCGCAGCTTCGATCTCAGCACGTCATAAGGTGCACACTTGGCGGTAGCTCGGATCAGTTCAAGATTACACCAGCGGTTTTCTCGTGTTGTGTGAGCAGGTCGGCTACATGCATGAAACGGAGCAAGTGAATCGCTACGTCGGCGGCCTGAAGCCGGAGTTTTTTCAAGAAATTGTACTTTGTGGGATCTCTAACTTCAACGGAATCTTGGCGCTTGTGGAGAAAATCAACATTTTGCTCCGTTCAAGGACGAGGTCCTACTACGGACATTGTACTTGGGGAATGACCGAGCACGCCATAGTAAATGACATCACAACGAATGTAGCTGCCGCGCTGTTTAAAAGACGATGCTTCGCGTGCAACAGGCCGGGCCTAGAGATGCTAAGGCGCCGAGGAGCAGAGCAGGGGAGAGAGCCTGGGAGGCAGGGAAACGCCAAGAGTTAGTAGAGTACGGGCCCACCACTGACGAGACTCACTGCTTGCCCGACCTCACTGACCCTCACCGAGTGACAGAACAGATTCATGCTATCAATCGGACTCGGCTGATTAAGGAGGGTATAGTGACACATTTCCCAATACTGATCCACGGGAAAATACAGGGTACAGCAGTGAATATTTTCTTTTTAACGCAGGAGCAAGTCACAGCTTAGTAAATACCGCAACTGCAAGAAATCTAGAACTCACGCTTAGCTGCTGCTTAACAGAGATTGGCTCACGCTTAGTTGACGGCACGCCGCTGGCTATACAGGAGAAGGTGGAGAGAGTGAAGGTTCGCTGAGGGGGAAACTTCGGGTGTACACAGGAAATGCTTGCGACGACACTGGATGGGCACGACATTTTACTGGGACGTGATTGGCTGTGATGCTACAATTCGCAAATCGATTGGACGACATGCAGCAGCACTGTACGAAGCAGCGGTAAGTGGGTCGCGCTACCTCGCTAGCAGTCGGTTGAGTCTTCAACGGTTCACGTGAATGCCATGACGATGAAATGGGCCGTTGCCGCTAGAGATGACGTGTACGCAGTAGATGTTACGGAAGTGGGAGAAGTCGAGGAGCTAAGCGATTTTTAGAAACTGCTAGTAGCTGTACCGCCTGAAATATATGAACTACTGAAACGGTACTCGAGGATTTTCCCTCCACCTTAGTGAGCACATGACCATTAGATAGCGTTAGACTGGGAGCACAGCCAGCAGTACAACGACAATTCCGACTGACACAACCCGAGTTAGACGAACTGAGGAAACAACAAGATTGTCTATTAGAGGAAAAAAAATCCAACCGAGTTCATCACCGTTCGCCGCACTGATACTATTCATCCCGAAAAAATATGGAGGATTCTGCATGTGTATCGACTACTGTGCACTGAACAGGGTAACAGTAAAATCGCGATATCCCACCCCCTGCGCTGACGAACTGATCGACCAACTGCGAACAGCCAGGGTTTTTTTTTTTCGAAAGGTGACTTGCGTGGCGGTTATCACTAGATTAGAGTCAAACCGACCGACTGCGCCAAGAAGGCAGGATGCTCTTTTTTCCCCCCATGTAAAAGCATCCTGCCTGCCATGTGAAGGCAGGATGCTCTTTCTCTCCCCCACGTAAAGGCATCCTGCCCTGAAAACCGCATCACCGACTGCGCCAAGAAGGCAGGATGCTCTTTCTCCGCCCGTACTACGCATCGTCGACCCACACCGCCCATTCAAAGTGGTTACCAATGCTAGCGACATCGCCATCAGAGTGGTACTACTACAGGATTACAACCCATTGCATACGAGTTACGAAAACTGCACCCGCCCGAGAAAAATTTTGCTATACACGACCGCAAAATGCTCGCGATTGTGCACGCATTCAAAAGTGTGGCGCTGCTACTTGACCGGCGCCGACGTGACAGTACGGATAGACCACAAATCTCTATAGTACCTCCGTGCATATCCCCATCTCAACCCACGACACGTCCATTGACTTGGTTTCCTCGAGTCCAACTTTCACTACACGGTCACCAACAAAAAAAGGAGCCTCGAATATCGCCGACGCACTGACCCGCTCGACTGCCCAAATACACGCTATACTACTCGCCCAAAGCAGCCAACTACTTACAGAACTATTCACCCACGGCTGCCAGACAAACCCATTTTTCATAGGAGGCAATTCACAGCAGTTCGCGGCAGCACGAGGAGTATATTACGTAAAAGCCAGTACCAATTGCATCTGGGTACTAGGCTACACCTTACTATGGGAGTTACTACTACAGGAGGCACACAACAGGGTTATCTAAGGATATTTTGGGGTTGAGAAAACACGCC